TATCGTGGAGCCTGAACCAGAGCCTGAGCCGGTAGTAGAGGAGAAGAAAGAGGAGGAAGATATCTGGGGTTTCAGCACCTCCAAGAAAGACAAGAAGAAGAAGAAGAAAGGCGCAGCCGCCGAGGAGCCAGTCCCAGAACCTGAACCGGAGCCCGTCCCGGAACCGGAACCGGAACCAATCGTGGAGGAGAAGAAGGAAGACGACGATTGGATGAACTGGGGTGCCACGTCCAAGAAAGACAAGAAGAAGAAGAAGAAGGGTGCCGCTGTGGAGGAGCCAGTCCCAGAACCTGAACCGGAGCCGATCCCGGAGCCGGAGCCGGAACCTGTTGAGGAGAAGAAAGCCGACGAAGACGACTTCTGGAGCTCATTCGGAACCAGCAAAAAGGACAAGAAGAAGAAGGGCAAGGCTGCCGAACCCGATCCACCGCCGCCTCCACCTCCAGCTCCTGAGCCTGAGCCTGAGCCGGAAGCCGAAGCAGACATTTGGGGCTTCTCTACTTCTAAAAAAGACAAGAAGAAGAAGAAGAAGGGCATCGTGGAAGAGGAACCGCCGAAAGAGCCTGAGCCGGAACCAGAGCCTGAACCTGTGAAGGAGCCGGAACCGGAACCTGAAGTTGAAGCCCCTGCGGAGGAGGCTGATAGTGCTTGGAGCTTCTGGGGTGCCACCAAGAAGACCACCAAGAAGAAAACCAAGACTTCCAGTGCACTTATCGACCTGGACAAGGCTCCTGAACCAGTACCAGAAGCTGAACCCCCTCCCGCCGTGCCAGAAGCTCCGGACGCGACCGCCGGCGATGACGATTTCTGGGCTACGTTTGGCAGCGGCAGCAAGAAGGACAAGAAGAAGAAGAAGAAGAATGCTGACGACAGCCTCAAACCTGATTCCATCGAAGAGCCCAAGAATGAAGACATTTTGGCCCTGTCAACCTCCAAGAGTAAGTCTAGCAAAAGCAATATGCCCATCGAAATCGAGGACGGATCCCAGATCAACGGCGTCAGCCCCGATTCCATTGTTGAGTCCAAGGACAGCAATGTCGACGATGACGACTGGGCCTGGGGCACTTCCTCCAAGAAGAACAAGTCAAAGAAGAATCCGTTAGCTGATCCTCCCCCTCCAGCCCCTACCCCTCCCCCCATGGAATTGGATGAGCCCGAACAAGAACTCGAGACGAATGTTTGGGACGACGCGCCATCCACGTCCAAGAAGTCCAAATCGAAAGACAAGGATAAAGACGACAAAAAGTCCAAGGAGAAGGAGCCCAAATTATCCAAGAAGGAGCTGGAGAAGCTTGAGAAGGAGAAGAAGAAGGCCGAAAAAGAGCGCGCCAAGCAAGAAGCCAAGGAAGCAGAAGAAGCCGCTCAGAGAGAAGCCGAGGAGCAAGCCGCGCGCGAGGCCGAGGAGCAGGCACAGCGCGAGGCCGAAGAACAAGCGGCCAAGGAGGCTGAAGAGCAAGCTGAACGCGACCGCTTGGAAGCCGAAGCTGCTGAGATTGCCCGGGAAGAGGAGGAACTCGCTGCACTAGCAGCCAAGCAGGCTAAGCGAAAACTAACCAAGAAGGATCAGGAGAAGTTCAACCGTCTTACCGAGAGTGCGAATCAGCGCGCCGAGGAGCAGGCCGCCAAGGAGGCTGAAGAGCAGGCAGCTCGTGAAGCTGAAGAGCAAGCAGCGCGCGAGGCAGAGGAGCAGGCCGAGCGAGAGCGACAGGAAGCCGAAGAAGCTGCGGCCAAGAAGAAGTCTAAGAAGAGCTCCAAGTCCGATGACAAGAAGTCTAGCAAGTCCAAGTCTAGCAAGGACAAGGACAAGGAGAAGGAAAAGGAGAAGGAGAAAGAAAAGGACAAGGACGACGACCTCTTGGACCTGGATGATATCGAGCTTGACCCGGCAGAGGTTGACGAGCTCTTATCTCCGACGCCGCCGCCCGCCAAGGAAAAGCCCGACGCTTTCTCCTTCTGGGGAGTTAGCGCATCCTCTAAAAAGAAAGGTTCGTTGCCTCAGGCTGCTACCCCGCATTCCTAGCTTTCCAACCCCCCCGGACCGTTCAGGCTAACCCATGCAAGCAGCTGACGCTAAAGCGGCTGAGTCAACTGCTTTTCTAGAAGATGCCAGCGGCGACACGGAGCTGACCACCAAGGACAAGAAGGCGAAAAAGGCCAGCAAGATTGCTGACAAGCTCAAAGTGTTCGAAGTAGCACCGGAAGAGGACCTGATTGAAGTGCTGCCTGCACCGCCGCCACCCGCGCCACTCAAAGACGATAAAAAGAAGTCCAAGTCCAAGAAAGACGTCGACTTCTTGGATGACGACTACGTGTCTTCTTCGAAGAAGACCAAGAAGTCTGGTATCCCCGGAAGCTTCCCCCTCGATGACGACGAGGACGAAATAATCGAGGTTGTTGAAATGTCGTCGCCCGAGAAGAAGTCCAAGAAGAGTAAGCGGTCCAAGGACATCCCCCCAGAGGTTCCACCGGCCCCACCTGCTGTACCCGACGCGCCAATCTCTCCACCCCCCGAGGTCGTCCGATCTTCCAAAAAAGAACGGCCCAAGATCAACCGCGATACTGGGCTATCATGGGGCGCGAGGACCGCGATCCCCAAGAAGGAAGAGAAAAGATCATCCAAGTCCAAATCGGAGGATAAACGGCCACGGTCCGAGAGGAAGGAGAAGGATCGTGAGGAGAAGTCTTCGTCCAAGGGATCTTCGTCGGACAAGGCTGAGCGCCCGGAGAGAGCATCTTCAAACCTCATCACACCCAAGGCGCGCATCAGTAGCGTCTTCCAAAGCACACCACCCATTTCGCGATCCATGTCTACGCGCGAGAGACGTCAAAGCTCAAGCAAGACAAGCTCACGCCGTCATTCTCTGGACATGTCGGGAGGTCTCGTCTCACCACCGCCCGAGGATGCACCACCAATGTCATCAAAGGCCGCTAAGATCCTCGGCATCGGCGCAGAGAAGCCTCGCAAGAGCAAGTCTCGCCGCCCGACAGAGGACGATGACATCGTCGTGGTCGAAACCGCTGATGCAGCTTCCAGCCCCGATAAGACCGCACGCAGAAGGTCGAAGGTGCGCATGGACGATGATATCGTCATGGTTGATGCTAGCAGCCCCCCCGACATGACTCCTCTGAAGCGAAGCAACTCGATGGCCAAGAAGGGTATATCTGGCTTATTCGGCGGGCTGATGTCTAACACTCCACGTTCAGAACTCCGCGCAGATCGTCGTCGCAGCACCTATCAGACAACTGACGACGAGGCGCGCCCTGATAAAAGACCCCGAAAATCAACGCGTGACAGTGATAATGACGCTGTAGTGATCGATCCAGAACGTGAGGCTCGCCGTGCCGCTCGCCGCGCGAAGAGAGAGGAGGAAAAGGCCGCTGCCAGCAAGGCTGCGGAGGAGGCAGAGGCTCGACGGGAGCGACGCAAGCGCCATGAAGAGGAAGCTGAAGCTCGTAGACAAGAAGAACGCGAGGCTAGACGAGCTGAACGTCGCGCCGCTCGCAAGCAGGAAGAAGAGCGTCTTGCCGCCGAAGACCTTGCTGCCAGGGAAGCCGAACGAGCCGAACGCCGTCGCCTGCGTAGACTCGAGAGAGAGGCTTCTGCTGCCGCCGGTGGTGACGATACCGAAGCTGAGCCTCGCCGGTCCGCTCGTGAGGATCGCCATCGATCTCGGCCGGTGGAGTCTGAGGATGAGGAGCAGCGGAGACGTCGCCGCGAAGCGAGACGTGCTGCCAGGGTTGAGGCCGAGCGACTCGAGGAGAAGGCCAGTCGTCGTCGTTCTACGCCACCCGATGAATATGTTTACGGTTCGAAGCCCCGGCACACAGACGATAAAAAGAAGCGACCGGCATGGCCACACTCAGGCACTTCATCCTGGGTTAAGGAACACTCGGATGCTGGTCCGCCGCCAGAAGATGAGACAGCACCCGATGCGTCAAGCCCCGTCGATGATGATGAGGCACGGCGGGCTGCTCGCCGGGCTCGCCGTCGATCAAAGTACGAGGATGCTGGCGATGCTGATGATGATCAGAGGCGACGCCGTGCTCGTCGTGAGGAGCGCGAGCGGCGCCGAGGCGGTTCGGATGGCAGTGGTGATAAGACACAGCGCGAATCTGTGTTCATGGACACAACTCCTCGCAGCAGCTGGTGGAAGAAGTTGACGGGTGGGGCGTAGGCGGTATTTTCTTTTTTAATCTCCTCCAACTCCGTGTGTTTCAAGTACTTTGAGTGTTCGGCTTTCCATTATCCCCTAATCTTGAGTCTTCTTGTTATTTATTTAGGGTTGGGTAGCGGTTGGGCTGATAGAAGGGTGGGATGTGGTGTTCTTGGGGTTCATCTTCATTGGTTCGAACCAGTCTGTTTTGTCTGAAAGCATGGATCGGCTCGGATCGGCTACGCTCCCTGTATACCTCCTGTGAAATCTGCATTGGGTGGTGCGACTCTGTTGGTTTTACTACTTATCTCTAGGCGTGGTTCGGTTTCCCCCCCGGTGGAATGGATTATGATATGTCAAGGAGGGCGAGAATGATTATGAAGACGATTATGAAGAGGACACAGTAGCAGGGGGCCATGTATCTTTGACGTGGCGAGCAATCTGCCATAGGTGGTAGTATTGGTGATCACACAGCTACCCGGGGGCTGATCGAGCAGGACCCCAATAAGCACCCGAGGACGGCTGTGGACTAATCATCGATCGCCATCGGCCCCATTTTGATGACGAGATGATCTCTATATACCCCCGTTCAGTCAAGTGACTTGATAATTTGAGATACCTGATATTCTTGTGCTATCTTTAAATCAAAGTACATGTTTTACTCATACACTTCTACATAGGATCTGCCTATTTGCTGTTTTCATGTGATATCCCATGAAACTTGCCATGTATGTTGACGAGCGAGTGAGAGGTTGTGGCCAAGGCAACGGCCGGAACAGCCTTTACAGGTTCAATTTAATGCACGTTCTCTTCAACAAACAAACAGAACGCCCCCAAAAAAACCTCGCTACGGTAGAGTAGTAGTTTGAACTCGTCGCCATCCCAGCATACGTTTGGGTTTCCTTAAAAGGCGAAGACCGTGGGTGCAAATCCCACCCGTAGCAATTTATTTTTCTCGAACGTTTCTTTTGGACCTCCTCAACTAGAAAGGTAGAAGCAGCAATCGCTAGTCACGACATATGGCAAACATCGTCTACTGCTCCTATTTTCTATGCAATATTCTTTATTTTCTTAAAAGATCGGGTTTTGTTCATTTCTTTGTTCCTTTGAATCTTTCATGATCCGCTTTGCAGCTAACATATATTTGCGGGCTTAGACCCTGCTGTAGTCGCAAAGGTGTTTGACTGCCCCATTACAAAAATGTATTTCTTCCAGTCTATCTTCAGTAGGCTCACACAATGGGAGAATAGTTCAATAGTAACAGTCATTGTACACTAGTGGTAATAACTTTGTTTTGAGCCGCTTGCGGATTGTATCGTCTATGAACAAGTCCATATAATGAGAGGGACGGCGGTGATCCAAGATGACCACACGCGTAATCCAACCGTAAGCCATTTCTACCTCACCACTATGTGCTACACCGAAAGAATTGTGATAATTTGTACCGTTTGCCTGAGGCAGCGGTGCCGGAGAAAGCACTGTAAGGATAAGTGTCTTGCAGTACTACGTGCAAGGCAGAAATTTGGCGCGTGCGGCAAATCCACTCACTTCGAAACGAGGATGTCATCTGGAGTGTGCTGGCGTTGTAGATGGAAGGGGCAATGATGAGACACAAGTAACATATCTTTACCACTATACAATAGATGACATCATGCCATAGATATTCATGCACTATTGAGTACCATTGCTCTCAAGTTGGAGCTGCTTCACTTTGGACTTGGATACCTGCATGTTAGAACCATTGAGTTTGGGCAACCAAAAGAAGCCACAAACACGGGTCGTAGTTACCAATAGTTCATGAGGTTTCGAGACGTCAAATCCCCCTTCCCGCCTTCCCGAGTTCTGGACTCCCAATCTGCTATATATACAGACTCGTTCACCTCCCACATCTGACTCATGCTCATGTGCTCACCACCAATAAACTCATTTCTGCGCCTTTTCCAGTGTCACTCTCAACTCTCGGAGTCAAAATAAGCCAGAGAGCTTTTCATCATGCTCAACGAAGCCTCAACCTCCGATACTGCGCTTGTGGCAGCGGCTGCGATTCGCCGAAACCCTGAAGCCTGGTTCCGAGATCAGAGCATCGACAGTAGAGATCGGGCTCTCTTAGAGGCTAAGAGGGTCCCATTCATCGAGTACAGCCCATCTAGCTATCTGAGAAAGATCGTAGGTACCATGCCATGCTTAGAAGAAATATAGGCTTGCTTGAGTTCCAAGTTAACTGATAATTTGCAGTCTCACCTTAAGGCCAGGCAGAAAGAGTTCAACGCGGTACCACACCCACAGGATCCTTTGCATACTGTAACCAAAATTTGCCTCTACGAACCGCCCTAACCTCTGTCTAGACCAACTGGACCGTTAAAAATGAGAATCTCTGCATCGAGACGGTGTGCTCGGCCGGCGCCACCCTTGTGGGATTCCCAACCCAAATCAGCGTACGTCAATGACAAGTATCCGATTTTCCCTAGTTTATAAGAGCTTTTCCCCAGTTATCTTAGGCTCATACTTACACAACAAGCAGTCAGCATCAATATTATGGCACGTCGTGGCGCGGGCTTCCATTGGGGCTATTTTTCAACCCAGCCTCAGCATATCCGAATCTTCAAGGGTCCACCACAGTCATGCGCCGAACATCCTCGCCATGCCATGATTCTTTGAGACTGCACCACTAATACGAGTGGCTTGGACAAAGTCACTTACATCTCCTCTCGCAAGTGGGACGTCTTACTCATGAAAATGTGCGAGGACTATGACCGTAAGCACAGCCGGAACCAAAAAGGTAACATCCTCGGCATTTCTGACTTTGCTTGCAGATCCCTGGCTAGTAGTCGCTGTTCAAGACTCCGGACTTGCATCAGAAAAGCCCGCTCATCGTTGCTTACGTCCGGAAGCCTGTGGTTGCACCTAGAGGGTGATGGACACAACTCTATCCCCTATCAGTGGATGGATACTGTGCTGTAGGTCGGGAGTTAGTTCGCGCCAGGCACGATTAACAGGGATATGGCTGCTACTACTACTGGTGGCCTCTTCCGGGAACAAATGAGCTAGACACCACTGGAATGTTTTGCCCGAACTACATGGCGTTATTTCCCGGTCAGCATTGTATTGTTACTTCATATAGTGGCTATGTTTCCAACCCGTTATGGAGTGCAGAATACCACGGGATACATAGTAGTAAACGAATCCAAAAGCACCGTCTACAGGGGGATCGACAATGCGAAGGTCCGTTTCACGAATCCAGCTGCCAACACATTCGTAGTCATCTCGACCTGCGTGAATGGTCTAAAATATTTCACAATTCATCCCTACGACTCTTGTTCTTTCATTCCTAAAAAAAAAAAAAAAGTTGAAGTACTTTTTTACACCCATAACATGGCCCCAAGCCTTTTACGCCAGAATAATGCGCGCCAATCAGGATCAGCAGAAATTTCAGCTAATTCCTTTACCAAAGCGAATTGTCTTGTTTCCAAGGAATTCCCCTTCGTACCATCATCTCAAATGCACTGCTGCTGGTTCTAGTACACTTTCTTCTTCTCATCAATGCTGAACTGACCGGGCCCGCTGTTAACAAGGAGCAAGAGACCGCCGACAATCGAGAGAATCTGGAAGAAGTCGTACTTGGCGAAGTCCTTGTGGGGGTGGTGGTCGTGGAGCTGCATTGTCAAAAAAATTAGTTTCAATCCACGCAGAGAGTGAGCATAACAAACCGGTTGAACCGGATTCTTTTAGGAGTGGCCACTTACAGTCCAGAAGTTGTTAACCAAGACGTTGAAGACGCTAAGAATGAGCACCAGCAGAGTAGCACTGAACTTAGCCTTGAATCCAACGACAACCATGACGCAAGCAACGAGGCCAATGAGCGAGACCATGACGCGCCAGACAGACCAGTCACCACTCCAGATGAAACCGACGAACAGGAAAATCAGGAGCACGCGGCCAGCCAGCTGGAAGTACATCTTGCGGTCCTTCTCGTCGAGCTGGGGGAGTCCAGCAAAAGCCTTGGTCTTTCGGACCCAAGAGTCGGACAGAACCATCAAAAGACCACCGATGACAGACAGGTTTCGCAGGAAAAAGTTCAGGTCGAAGATCAGGCCATATCCAAGAGCTTGGACAACCACCACGGCCATGAGACCTCCTACGGCATAATCTGAGTACTTGCGGGCGATGACGCAAGAGGCGCAAGCAGTCATGGTGATAACATTGATGATGAGGAAGATGTGGTTAAGACCGCTGGGGACTATATGCATAGTTAGCTATTTGCACACTAGTTTCTATCTGGTGATGCAGGTCACCCATGCTGTAGGTGTCATACATTTTCTATAATCGTGTAGGTAAAGGAGCTGATCGCTCCATTGCGTAATGATACGCAGGGCGTCTTCTAAGAAGGTGACAACGATGAGAAACCTGCCGAGCGCGGGAAGGTATCTACGAGAAGGAAATCAAAAAGAGTTAGCTTTCAGTAGCCGCGAGAGTTGGTTTAGAATACGTGTGCTGTAAGAGATCAATCTCATTCGAGATTTGCGCAGAAAACAACACGTTCTATCTTAAGGAGCGCAGTGACGTGACGTACGGCTTGATAGGTTCGCTGTAGTTGTCGAGGAAGTCCTCGATCTTGGCGGTGTGCTCGCGGATAGAGTCCAACGCGCTCGCCTCCGAAGGGGCATCCCGCGAGGGTCCTCCAAAGGGGGTCGGCCCCCCGAGGTTGTAGCTAGCTGTGCCTCTGATCTGTGCCATTTTTGTTCTTATGGTGGTGAGGAGATGTGTGTCGGATCGGATTGCAGACCTGCTGGCGTTCGCAAGAAGTAGAGCTTTCGAAATAAAGGGTTGGCGGTAGAAAGAGGTCGTCGATGGCAATGCAGACGGGGCAGAGCTTGTTTCGAGGAGTTTGTTTGAAACCTACCCTGAGTCGGTAGTCAAGGTTCGGTAAATAGTTGGTGGGAGGGTTGTAGATGGAGAAAGAAAGAAGGGAAAAAACGAAGTCCAAGGAAAATGCCAATTGGACCTCGTGACAACAACAGCGGGACAAGAAGGAGAGCGAGGATGTTCAGAAAAGGTCGGGTCAGTGCGAAATAAAGACTGGCGACAGTCACGTCGCTGCAAAGAAATATCGACTGACGGTAGGGTAAGCTCTCCAGTTCCCCCTGCTAGACTACCGTGTCCTCAATTGCTAAATGGAACCCAAAAGGCGTTAAGTCCCGTGATGGCTAGAGCTGCGGGGCCTTCGATTGGCTGGAAGGGAAGGTGCTCAAGTGGCCCGAAACCACATTCCCGCTCGCTGCCCACCCACCTGGGCACCTCTGATGAACTAACTTAGTCTTGCCCACAGATAGAGCGGAACCTCCAGCCCGCTGCCGTTTCCCCCTTTCTGCTGAGCGCAGCCATGACCAGCTCGAGGTATCGCGTTAACCTCAAGTGCTTGCGTGCCCGCCTCTCTGGCCCGCCTCTGCCCGCTATGTACAGCTCTCAACTAGTGCACACACTACGACGCGTGCTAAAATTACCGTAGATACCTACCGTTAGGTTCAATCTGCTCCACCGAAGCCAAGCAATTACTACTACCAACTCAAGCTGAGATGGGATGTTTCTTCTACTTTGATGATTGATAAAATTCCACGTAACATGGAGTTATAGCCACTGCATGTGCATGCTGATACGAGAGTTGACAACGGTATGAGATCCCTACACATTCTCTCACTCCCTCTTTCTTTCTCCCTTTCCTCTCCCCCTTCGTCGACTTGTTGGGAGGACTTAATGGAGGCAACTATGTTTCTGTTACACATACGCAAAAGGCTATATGATCTGGTATTACTATATTTACCCCATGTAAGCTGAGATATTGTATCTGGTTTTTCCCCGATTGCCCTTTCGTATGCACTTACCTAAGTAGTTAGTAACTCGGCCTCCCCATAGCTTGGTGAAGTTGCTGATTATTATGTATCGTAAT